CCTACAACTCTCCTTCCTTTGAAGATGTTGAGTAAACACACATGTACACGGAATGATTCCCGAGCTGCTGGATCCAAAACTCAAACCATGGGATTGGCCATATGCGATCTGGCTGTCTTAACCACCAGGCAATGAAGCAGCCTTGAATCAATTTTTCAACAAACTTTTTGAAGTCTCCTTGTACATACAGGACTCCAAAAAATAACCAGAGGCAAGCCTCTAACAGAAAAATAGACAGAAAATATCACTAAGCATTCCATACAACAAGACATAAAAGGCTGGCTGGCCCAGTGGCACAGTGGTTAAGCCCTATGCATAGGAATCTGGATGCCCCAAGTTCTGCTATAAAGTCTGAGTCCTGGCACGGTGGCTTAAAAGTCACATCAAGCATTATGTGCGTGTTGGCCCAATACTTGATGGGAGGGGGGCTGGGAGGTGGCCTGGGGGTTGAGATGCTGGACTCTCACATGGCTGACCACGGTTTGAATCCCAGACCTTGGAGCTTGCTTTCTCACTTTCCCTTTGTCTCTCTCTCTGGTCAAATTAAATAATAACAAAATAAAATAAAAATGGTTAACAGGTAAGTTAAAAAAAAAAAAAAACTATTTGATAGTATGGAGAAATGGAGATAAATGGCGTGTGGTGTGACCATTCACCACTGGGGGATGCTTTCTCTCTCTCTCTCCAGTGAGTGCACAAACTTTCTGGCAAAAAAATTTTAAAATTAAAAAAGGAAGAGAAAGAAAGAAAAAGAAGCATAAGTCAATATACATGAGAATATACATAAGAATATTCAACTTAATTTATATTATGGAAGGTACAGTATTTAACTACAACAAGATATCATTTTAGCAATAATTTAAGTCTGACAATGACAAGTATTGGTTGATATAAAGTAACAAGTCACTTAGATTTCAAAAGGTTCATAGAAATATGAAATTCAGCTATAAGTTTATTTTGGTGCAAAACAAATTTAAAATCCATGTGTAGTTTTTTCATACTACTCATTTTCAGGAACTTTTTGAATACTTCTTGTAATGCTGGTGAAAGGTTCAACTGATATAATCATTTTGGGACAAGTATGATATTACCTAGCAGAGCACAGATCCAATACTTTCAAATCTCATCATTTTACAACCAGGTATATACTAAAGAAAAAAGCTTTTATACATGTACACCAAAAAACATGAATAAGAATGTTTACAGAAAAGCTAGAGGTAACTTGAGGTATACTGATAGGCAAGAGAATAAAAATGAAGTAAGTGTTCGTTTCTAACAAACAGCATCTTTACTGTTTCTTCTATATGAAGGCTCCCTCCTTTTTTTCCTAAGAGAGATTTTTGCTATAGGGTACATGCACTCACTGGACAGACAGAGAGAGAGAGAGACAGAAAGCAAGAAATCACTCCCTTGGGGGATGGCCACACCACAATCCCTTCTCCTCCATTTTCCTTTTGGGATTTTTGCACGCATGCTCACACATGCACTCAGTGTGAGTTTCAAGCTGCCAGGTTCAGGACTCAAACCAAACAGTGGTCAGCCATGTGGGAGTCTAGTGGTATAACCATTATGCCATCTGCTAGTCCCCTAAAGCTTCCTTTAAAAAAAAAATTGGGGCTGCCAGGTGCAGTGGTGGTTAAGGTGCTGTGGTTTGAGTCCTAGACCTGGTAGTTGCTTTCTTATTTTCCCTTTCTCTCTTTCTCTGGTAAAATTTAAAAGTAAACAAATAATAACAACAAATAAAATAAATAAATCTTAAGGCTGTAAGGTGGTGTAATGGTTAAGGTATTAGATCCCCACATGGCCAACCACAGTTTTTGAGTCCTGGACCTAGTGGCTTGCTTTCTCACTTTCCCTCTCTCTGGCTCTGGCTGTCTCTGGTAAATGCACATGCCCGATAGCAAATCAAATAATAATAGATAAAATTAAATAAATAAATCTCTTTTTTCTTTTTAATAAGCTTTTTGAAATAGTGGACATGCACTCACTGGAGAGAAAGACAGAGATAGTGAGAGAAAAAGTAAGAAATCACTTCCAAAGAGGACGGCCATGCCATAATCCCTTCTCTTCCGTCTCTTCCTGGAATGTTGTGCACCACGCAAATGTGCCCAGTGTAATTTTCAAGCTACTGGGTTGGGGACTCAAATCATGTTTGGCCATGTAAGAGTCCAGGAATGTAACCACTATGCCACTTGCTGGCTCCAATAAATAATTCATTTTAAGTAGTTATTCATTTTATCCATTATTATTACTGTTATTAATAAGGCATGTGCATTCACTAGAAAGACAGAGAGAGAAAGGGAAAGTGAGAAGCAAGCCACCAGATCTGGGACTTGAACTGTAGTCAGCCATGTGGGAGTCCAGCGATGTAACCACTCTGCCATCTGCTGCTCTCAATAAATCTTTTTTTTTCTTTTATATTTTTGCTATAGGGCTCATGTGTTCGCTGGAGAGACAGAGAGATACAGAGAGACAGAAAGCAAGAAATCACCCCCCCCCCAGAGGGATGGCCATGCAACCCCTTCTTTTTAATTCTTGGGATCCTGGGTACACACGCCTGCCTTGTTTTAAGATGTCGCGTCCAGGACTCGAACCATGGTCAACTATGTGGGAGTCCAGCGACACAGCCATTACGCCATCTACTGGCCCTGCAAAAATCTCTCTTAAAAAAAAAATAGGCTTGTAGTAGACCCAAGTTTTTAAAAAATACTGCTTTATTTAAGCTGTTCTTCACCTAAATTCCTGCACAGTAACAGTTTTTTCACTGATTATGGAAGACAGGGATAATGACTCTTTCCACTCATAAATGTAGTGTCAGGAGTGCTAAACCTGGAGACCAGTAATGACAACCTGGAAGATGGGCTATGTGACTGTCACCCAAAAGTAACTTTATACAACAAACAACTGAAAAACTGAAAAAGTTTAATAATATGATCTCTCATAGAGAGGAATTCTTAATGAAAATAGCATGATTTAAAAAAATTTGGGGGGACCAGCAGTTGGCATAATGGCTATGTTGCTGGACTCCCAGTCGACTGTGGTTTGAGACCCATACACGGTGGCTTAAACTCAAGCCGGCTGCGTGAGCATGCGTGCCCAAGAGGAGAATGGAGGAGAAGGAACTGCGACATGGCCATCCCCCTGCGGGTGATTTCTCCCTTTCTGTCTCCCTTTCTGTCTCTCCAGTGAGTACATGTGCCTTATAGCAAAAATCTCTCTAAAATTTTTTTTTTCCTTTTTGTCAGTCTTGATTATTTGTATTGCAAATATATATTTTAATAAAGAGAAACCATACTTCGGAAATCTTATTTCAAAGGTATTACTAGTTCATTGTTAAACTCAGAATAATATATTCAATGTTTGCTACTTCACTACTTCTAAAAAAATACTTAACTTTATGTATGTATGTATTTATTTTGTGTATGAATGTATGTATATGTGTATGTATTTGTTTTAATTTGTGTATGTATGTATTTATTTTAATTTGATCAGAGAGGGACAAGGTCAAAGAGAGAAAGTGAGAAAGCAAGCCCCCAGGTACAGGACTTGAACTGCAGTCAGCCATGTGCAAGTCCAGCTCCCATAACCACCACGCCATCTATTGGCTCCTTCTATTTTTCTAATAAATAAAAATGGGAAAAATCCTAAATTCACTAAAAGTTAAGTCTGGAAAATAGGTGATGAACAACAATGTTGTGAAACAGGGATTTTTAAAAGTATCTTTGGGCATAATGGCTATGTTGCTGCACTCATGTGTAGTTGGCAGCAGTTCGAGTCCCAGACCTGGCATCTTAAAACTCACGCCAGGCATGTATGTGTGCGTGCTCGAAATCTTGAGAAGAGAATGGAGAAAGGATTGCAGCATGGCCAATCCCCCTGGGGGAGAGGGGGTGATTTCTCACTTTCTGTCTCTCTGTCTCCCTATAGCAAAAATCTCCCTTAAAAAAAAAAGTATCTTGGGAACCAGCAGTTAGCATAATGGCTATGTCACTGAACTCCCATGTAGTCGACCGTGGTTCGTGTCCCGGACCCGGTGGCTTAAAACTCACGCCAGGCGCGTGTGCGTGCGTGCCCAAGATCCCGAGGAGAGTGGAGGAGAAGGGATTGCGGCGTGACCATCCCCCCGGGGGGTGATTTCTCGCTTTCTGTCTCTATGTCTCTCTCTGTCTGTCTGGCGAGCACACGCGCCCTATAGCGAAAACCTCTAAAAAAAGAAAAAAGTATCTTCATCAATATATATTTTTTTTCATCAATATTTTTCAACTCAACAAGTGGAATGTGTTATGAAATGGGTGTTCCCTAGCAGAGTAAAAACTATTATCAATTTAATACCTACTTCCAAAACCCTAAAAACAAAACCAGAAATAACTAATAAAACTATTCTAACAAAGATATAGACATGGTCATCTTATTTAACACTGAACATATATACATAAACATGAACAATGTATGTTCAGTGTTAAATAAGATGATTGTCTATATCCTTCATTTGATTATTACACATGTGTATGCATGCTGTGCCCCACAAAAATGTACAATTATATATAGACCAGAAATCACAAATTTAAAAAGAATAAAAAATTGAGTTAAAAAACACATTTACCTCAAACTGGAAGAGTTCTCTCAGTTTATGTTCCCTGTGACTTCATTTTAATTGTAAAGCAAAGAGATTTTGCTTGGGAAGAGGATAAATATTTGAAAGCAGTTAACAATAAAAATTGTAAAGGCCTCAAAATCTCAAATTAGGGACTGATAGGTAGTATGGCGGTTAAGGTGCTGGACCCCCTACATGGCTGACTACAGTCTGAGACCTGGACCTGGTCACTTGCCTTCTCACTTACTCTCCCTCTCTTCCCCTCTCTCCCTTTGTCTGTCTATAGTGAGCATATGGGCCCTACAGCAAATTAAAAATAACAACAACAATAATAAATAAAATTAAATAAGTATTTCTTTTAAACATCTAAAATCCATATGTTAAAGCCTCTATAAATCTGAATTACGTACCTTACACCATCGAACTATGATGCCTCCAGGTTTTTCTATTAGTTCTTCTATCTGCACTGGTGGGCGTGATGCTACCGTTCCATGCTTAAAAATGTGGTCTTTTACTATGTTAAGAATTGAGTCGTCCAACTGAGCAGATAAACAAGGCACATCAACCAGTAAAGGCACTTCTGGTAAGCTGAGGATACAAAGCTCATGTTTATGAGACTTTTAATTGAGAGTTAAAAATACAAGGAATATCTTAGACCAGTCACATACTAGAAGACTCCTCAAGCCCCAAGTAAATAATTTGCGCAGCAATGGGAAGTATTTAATTTTACAAATGTTACATAAAGATTATCCTCCCAGGGACCAGCAATTGGTGTAAGGCTATGTCACTGGACTCCCATGTAGTCGACCACAGTTGGAGTCCTAGACTTGGTGGCTTAAACTCACGTCAGCCGCGTGTGTGCCCAAGATCCTGAGAGGAGAATACAGAAGGGATTGTGGCGTGGCCATCCCCCTTGGGCGGTGATTTCTTGTTTTCTGTCTCTTTGCCTCTGTCTTTCTGGCGAGTGCACATGCCCTCTAGAAAAAAAAAAAAAAACTCCAAAAATAAAAAAAAAGTTTAGAAGTCCCACCAAAAGTGGGGTCAGCAGATGGTGTAGCAGTTCCATCACTGGACTCCCATATGGCTGACCATGGTTCGGTTACCAGACTCGGTGATTTGAAACTCACACAGGGCGCATGGGCGTGCGTGTCCAAGATCCCGGGAGGAGAATGGAAGAGAAGGGATTGTGGCATACCCATGCCCCCTGGGGGTGG